TTTCTTCGTGAATGAATCCACTCCACATGATTATTTGGAGAATACGCAACAACTAAAAATCCACTCCAGGTTTTCCTGGTTACCTCCTCCAACCTGCAGCGTTTCTGTGTCTCGTCCTGCCTCGGCAGAAAACACGCACAGGTGGAGGAGGTGGAGGTACCTCTGTCAGTTTAGCAAGCTTAGTGCTGGCAGTTGTTGGGGTTGATCATAAACATATATACAGGGTTAGGAGGATGCTTGAGAGGAGTGCTACATAGCATCTTAGCAGTAACTGATGCTGTAAGATGCAACAGGTGTAAGAGACGCTGTGTGTTAAGGTGCATTAAAGTTGAAATGTCTTTAAAACCCCACACCTTATTGTCCTCAAGCTTCGTGAGAAACATCATTTAGATGAAAGTGTTGAATACAAGTAAAAAAGTCTAGTGGTGATGTTTTTTATTTCTACAAACACAAATAGTGCTGATCTGAAGTGTATTAAAGTTAAAATGGCTTTAAAACAGCTGAATTTACACAAGCTTGGTGAGAAACATGCTTTAAGTGGAATTAAAGTAAAGAAATCTAGATGAAAAGTTGCTTTTTTTGGTGAACTAGAGTACAATTTTTTGCACGCACACACACACTAGTGTCCCCCCACATTACATATGCTTCTGACGCCCATGCCCTGGACAGACCTCCAGTCCATCACAGGGACAGACAGAGACTGTTCACATACCCAGTCACAGCTGGGGCAATTTAGAGTCAAACCCCAAAAGGGATTCAAACTGAGAACTTGAGTTTCATCCATCCATCCATTATCTTCCGCTTATTCCGAAGTCTGGTCTCGGGGGCAGCAGCTTGAGCAGGCAGGCCCAGACATCTCTTTACACAGCCACCTCTTCCAGCTCTTCTGGGAGGATTCCAAGGCGTTCCCAGGCCAACCGAGAGACATAGTCTCTCCAGCATCTCCTGGTTCTTCCCCGAGGTCTCCTTCCAATTGGACATGCCTGAAGCACCTCCCTAGGGAGGCGCCTAGGGGGCATCCTTACCAGATGCCCGAACCACCTCAACTGACTCCTCTCGATGTGAAGGAGTAGTGGTTCTACTCCGAGTCTCTCCCTGATAACTGAACTTTTCACCCTATCTCTAAGGGAGAGTCCAGCTACCCTGCGGAGAAAACTAATTTTAACCGCCTGTATCTGTAATCTCATTCTTTTAGTCACTACCCAGACATAGCTCATGACCATAGGTGAAGGTAGGAATGTAGACCGACCGGTAAACAGAAAGCTTTGCCTTACAGCTCAGCTCTCTCTTCACCACAACGGACCGGTACAGAGTCTGCAATACTGCCGATGCTGCACCAATCCGTCTGTCAATCTCACGCTCCATTCTTCCCTTACTCGTGAACAAAATCCCGAGATACTTGAACTCCTCCACTTGAGGCAGAACCTGACCCTTGACCTGAAAAGAGCAATCCACCTTTTTCCAGTTGAGGACCATGGCCTCAAATTTGTAGTTACTGATTCTCATCCCAGCCGCTTCACACTTGGCTGCAAACCGCTCCAATGAGAGCTGAAGATCACGGCACAATGACGCCAACAGGACCACATCATCTGCAAAGAGCAGAGATGGAATCCTGAGGCCACCGAACCGGAAACCCTCCGCCTGCTGGCTGCACCAAGAAATTCTGCCCATAAAAGTTATGAACAGAATCGGTGACAACGGGCAGCCCTGGCGGAGTCCAGTTCCCACCCTGAAGGGGTCTGACTTACTGCCGGCAATGGGAACCAAACTCTTGCACCACTTGTATAAGGACTGAACAGCCCGTAACAACGGGTCTCCAATCCCATACTCACGGAGCACCCCCCCACAGTGTACCCCGAGGAACACGATTGAATGCCTTCACCAAGTCCACAAAACACATGTAGACTGGATGGGCAAACTCCCATGACCCCTCAAGGACCCTAGTGAGGGCTGAGGTCGCAGAGATAGTTAAAAAGCTCAAAGGCGGCAGGGCTCCGGGAGTGGATGAGATTCACTCTGATTTCCTTAAGGCTCTGGATGTGGTGGGGCTGTCTTGGCTGACATGCCTTTGCAACGTCACGTGGACATTGGGGGCAGTGCCACTGGATTGGCAGACTGGAGTGGTGGTTCCTCTCTTCAAAAAGGGAGACCGGAGGGTGTGCTCCAATTTTAGGGGCATCACTCTCCTTAGTCTCCCTGGTAAGGTCTATTCAGGGGTACTAGAGAAGCAAGTCCGATCGTTGGTCGAACCTCAGATCCAGGAGTTCTCTCCAAGTCGTGGAACACTGGATAAGCTCTTTACCCAGGGTGTCCACCACCGAGTTCATGGATGGTCACCGCAAGAAGCACCAACAACCTTGCAGCCACAGCTCAAGGCAGCTACCTCAACAAGCGAGGCACGGAACATGGCCCACTCGGACTCAATGTCCCCCACCTCAGCTGGGATGCGGTTAAAGCTCTCCCGGAGGTGTGAGTTGAAGATCTCTCTGACGGGTTCTTCTGCCAGGCATTCCCAACAAACCCTCACTACACGTTTGGATCTACCGGGTCTGTCCAGCATCTTCCCCCACCATCTGATCCAACTCCCTACCAGGTGGTGAGGTGGTGATCAGTTGACAGCTCAGCTCTTCTTTTCACCTGAGTGCCCAAAACTAACGGCCGCAAATCAGATGACATAACTATGAAGTCAATCATCGATTTACGATCTAGGGCGTACTGGTGCCAAGTGCACTTATGGACACCCTTATGTTTGAACATGGTGTTCGTGATGGACAAACTGACTAGCACAGAAGTCCAACAACAGAATACAGCTCGGGTTCAGATCAGCGAGGCCGTTCCTCCCAATCACACCCCTCCAGGTCACACTGTCATTACCCACGTGGGCATTAAAGTCCCCCCATCAGAATAAAGGAGCCCCCAGCTGGTGCACCTTCCAGCACCCCTGCCAAGGACTCCAAGAAGTCCGGACACTCTGAACTGTAGTTCAGCGCATAGGCACAAACAAAATTCAGTGCCTGTCCCCCCACCCGAAGGCTAAGGTAAGCCACTCTCATCTACCGGGGAAAACTAACACACAGGCACCAAGTCGGGGGGCTACAAGTAGACCCACACCAGCTCAACGCCTCTCACCATGGGCAACTCCAGAGTGGAATAAGGTCTAGCCCCTCTCAAGGAGATCGGTTCCAGAGCCCATGCTGTGCGTTGAGGTGAGCCCAACTATATCTAGTCGGTACCTCTCAACCTCGTGCACAAGCTCAGGCTCTTTCCCTGCCAGAGAGGTTACATTCCATGTCCCAAGAGCCAGCTTTGGTAAGCCAGAGTCAGAGCGCCAAGGTCCCCACCTTCGGCCACTGCCCGTAGCATCACTCGACTTTTATGGCCCATCCTGCAAGTGGTGGGTCTACAGGAAGGCAAACCCATGTTGCTTCTTTGTGCTGAGCCCGACTGGGCCCCATGGGGAGAGACCCAGTCACCAGGCGCTCGCCAACGAGCCCCTCTCCCAGGCCTGGCTCCAGGGTGGGGCCCCGGTAACCCACGTCCAAGCAAGGGATACAGAGTTCCTTGTTTCTTTTTTTTGTCCATAAAAATCTTCTGAATTGCTCTTTGTCTGGCCTGTCACCTACGACCAATCTGCCTTGGGAGACCTTACCAGGGGCAATTATAATTGCCCCCAACAGCATAGCTCCTAGGATCATTCAGGCGCACAAACTCTTCTACCACGATAAGGTGGCGATTCAAGGAGGAAAACTTGAGTTCTAATCACCAATTATCAATAATCATTGAGCATATCTGCCTTGGTAAATCACTGATAATTTTTATGAGGATCCTTAACATTAAGATGCAAAAAGGCAGTCATACAGTATATTCACATAAATGTAAATGTATTAGCAAAATTATCAAAGGCGAGCTGTGCAAATTCATGCTTGTATCAGACAAGTAGCCCTTTGTGTCACTCGGTCCCACTGAAGTAGCTCTGTCTCAAAATATGTGGTGATCCCTGGGTTAAACGTTGTCTCTAAATAGTTTTAGGTGAGTGAGAGCATGCATGGTTGTTTGTAACTATGTGGTCCAGTGATGGACTGACAGCCTGTTCAAATTGCACCTCTCAGATGGGCACAAGCTCCACACAACTCTGAAAAGAATAAAGAGAAAATAGAAAATTTGCGTATAGGAAGATGGGTGTAATTATTTACTGAATTTGACTACATTGTGATATTTGTACGGGTACTTGTTTTTCAACAATTCAGACATAACCTTAGATGAAAACATAATTAAAAGGCCTAGCATTTCTTAAAATAATACAAATCGCCCACTGCCTTTAGTCTGAATTTGAAATTGAGACCATTTCATGATGATACATGTTACAGATGTTTTGGTCACATCTTGAAAATAATGTTAGACGTGTAACACCACAAGTTCTCTAGCTATTGTTGAGTGGTATGAGTATGCGTTATGATTGACTATCAGTTGCTACCACATCAGACTTTTCTGGACATTTGTTAAATTCATTCAGTTATGATCCTTTTGTTATTTACTATGGTCGATTAGCGGTGGTAGCCATCTTGAATCGTTTTGACTGCAACAGTTGATAGTGTTAGTTGGATATTTTGCCAAAAGACAAACAAGATGGACTCCAACAGATGACACCAATGTTTTTAACAAAGATCGTGTACAATGTGTAAAATTCAGATTATGTGTTGGGAATGATTCCAGTCTACCACACCAAATCATTATCATCATCATTATGGCATTTCTTTTGTTTTTGAAGATTATCTGTCAGTGATACCCATCTTGAATATGTTGACTTCAAAAGGTAATCAGTTATAGATGTGCCATTCTTCCAATGGTTATTTTCTTGGATTTTTCTTAATCTTTCCACTTGATCATGAGATATGTGGCTGAAAGGTGACCTTTTTCAAAGCACACACAGGCAAAAACATTATCACTCACCTTTCAGCAGAGGACAGTTATAATCAAACCAGTAGTAAATAAAAATACTGATGAACTACCATTATTCTCTTCCAGAGTTGGCCACATTCAGGATTCTCCTGTTGGGAAAAAGTGGAAATGGGAAGAGCAGCCTGGCTAATACCATTTTTGGAGAGACAGCGTTTAAAGTGAAAAACTTCAATGACCTGAACACGTTTGTTTCTGATGCAAAAACTAAATCTATCAATGGAAGAAGCATCACTTTGATTGACACTCCTGGTTTATTTGACCAAGGCAGATCTAAGGACGAGGTAAAGCCAGAGTTAATGAGGTGTATCACAGAATGTGCTCCTGGGCCCCATGTCTTTCTCATTGTTCTCAAAGTGGAGCGATACACAGAGCAGGAGCAGGTCGTCACCAGTGAAATACTGCAGTATTTCTCACATGATGCCCTGAAGTACGCTGTGGTGGTCTTCACTCATGGCGACCAGCTTCCTGAGGGGCTGAAAATAGGGCAGTATGCCTGTCAAAGTGAAGGTATGAGGGATTTGGTGGAGAAGTGTGGCGGTCGCTGCCATGTTTTTGATTGTAAATACTGGAAGAACACTGAGCAGGAGGACAAGTACAGGAGCAACCAGTTCCAGGTGGAAGAGCTACTCCATACCATTGACAAGATGCTGGTGGAAAACACTGGAGGATTCTACACCAATGCAGTCCTCAATGAGGTGGAGACACAAATACAAGAGGAGGTCCAGAGTATAAGACCGTCATCTAAAAACTTATCAGAGGAGGAAATCAGAAAGCGAGCTAAAAGTAACATCCTAAAGAAGCACATGAAAGGTGCGCCACTGTGGATTAAAGGTTCAGCTGTTGTGGTGGTCACAGGTTTACTTGCAGCTATTTCGGCTTGGTTTATCCATTCTAGACCTGGGCAGACATCAACAGTAATCCCACTATCTACCCAGGAAAGTGTTTCAGTAGTGACAGTAGAAGAAATAGGTCAGATTGTATTACTGCCAGTCAGAGGGATATTTCAGGCTGCCAGGGAAGGACCATGGGTCTTACTCGAGGCTCTTACTGCTTTGTATGAAAGAGTGTGGGATCCTTATAATTTATTTGAATGAGCACCAGAGTAAAATTACACAGCAGATGAAAAGAAATGCAATCATCTATTGGTATGATAAAAATTTAAATATTTGAAGGATTTCAGCTTTTGGCTCCAGGTAGACTAAATTTAAAACCATTTATAGAATTTCAGTGTGCTTTTTTAAATTATTTTTTTGGTAATGCTCTTATTTTAATATTAAATGGCTTAAAGGGAGATTTTCCAGTTTTATACATTAATTTCAACACGTTGAAAAGCAAAAATATGTTGAGAGCTGTACACATTGAGAGCTGTACACTTTGTATTTACAGATGAACTATTAAAATGTTCTTTATGTGATTGTATGCATTTAAAATGTGCGTTGTATAACAATAAATCCCCAAATTGGTCATATGTCTTTACTATTTTCACTTCTGAGACACTATTTAATCTTAGTATTTTAAGTTTCATTTTTTGTGGATTTGAAGAAGTGATTTTATGAAAGACAAAGGAACATGTTAACTAATTGTATTCCTGTCCTAATTTTAAATAAAACTGCAAATGAGGATATTCACGTTTTTGTTTCTCATTTTGTGTGAACTTATTTCTTTTGTTGAGTGTTTTTTCTTTGCTAAAAACAAAATATTAAGCTTAGATTGGACTGTTGACTGACAAACTCATTGTATGATGACTGGATGTAGGTACAGTGGGGCTTGAAAGTTTGTGAACAGTTTAGAATTTTCTATATTTCTGCATAAATATGACCTACTGGGAAATCATCATCATATTTTCACACAAGTCGTAAAAGTAGAAAAAGGGAACCCAGTTAAATAAATGAGACAAAAATATTATACTTGTTAATTTATTTATTGAGGAAAATGATCCAAGATTACATATTTGTGAGTGGTAAAAGTATGTGAACCTTTGCTTTCAGTATCTGGTGTGACTCCACCTGTACAGCAACAACTACAACTAAACATTTCCTGTAACTGTTGATCAGTCCTGAACACCTTGGAAGAATTTGAGTCCATTCCTCTGTTCAGAACAGCTTCAACTCTGGATGTTGGTGGTTTCCTCACATTAACTGCTGCTTCAGGTCCTTCCACAACATCTGGATTGGATTAAGGTCAGGACTTTGACTTGTCCGTTCCAAAACATGAACTTTATTCTTCTTGAACATTCTTTGGTAGAACCACTTCTGCTGAGGGTCATTGTGTTGCTGCACCTTCTCCTGAGATTCACTTCATGGACAGATGCTCTGACATTTTCCTTTAGAATTATCTGATATCATTCAGAATTCATGGTTCCATCAATGATGGCAAGAAGTCCTGGCCCAGATTCAGCTAAACAGACCCTAACCATGATACTACCACCACCATGTTTCACAGATGGGATAAGGTTTTTCTGCAGGAATGCTGAGTTTTCCTTTCTCCAAACACTTTTCATTTAAACCAAAAAGTTCTTGTTTGGTCTCATCTGTCCACAAATCATTCTTCCAACAGTCTTCTGGTTTGTCCACATGATCTTTATCAAACTGCAGACGAGCAGCCATGTTCTTTTTGGAGAGCAGTATCTTTCTCCTTCAACCCTGCCATGAACACCATTGTTGTTCAGAGTTCTCCTGATGGTGGACTCATGAACATTAACATCAGTCAATGTGAGAGAGACCTTCAGATGTTACAAGTTACTCTGGGCTCCTTTGTGACCTCACTGACTATAACACTCCTTGTTCTTGGAGTGATGTTTGTTGGTCCACCACTCCTGGGGAGGGTAACAATGGTCTTGAGTTTCATACAAGTGTTGTGAAGAACAGACTTTTTGATAGATCTTTAAATCAAACATTGTGTCCACTCACACCTGATCATCATCCATTGATTGAAAACACCTGACTCTAATTTCACTTTTTCACTTATTTCCTTGACTTTTGACACAACGTGATCTGATTTAGTATTTCATTGTTTCTAATTATGTTTTCGGTTTTATATTTTTATTCCATGTGCTGTAAATATATCTTGCTACTTTTTATTTGATGTTGTGATGTTTTTGTTAAGCACTTTGGTAACAGTTTCTGTTTTAAATGTGCTCTATAAATAAATCTGACTTGACTTGGCTCACTGTCAAATTAACTGATAATCCTAGAGGTTCACATACTTTTTCCACTCACAAATATGTAATATTGGATCATTTTTATGCTGTTAGTGCTTAGCATTTTATTAGTTAATGTTTTTCTTAGTTCATATCTTAGATCTTATTACTATTTTTATTTTACATTTATTGTTGGATATAACTGGGACCCTGTGCACACAATGTCATTCCACCACATGTACCACATGTGGTGGAATGACAAAGAAACTCTGACTCTGATTTCCCTCAATAAATAAATGACCAAGTAAAATATTTTTGTCTCATTTGTTTAACTGGGTTTTCTTCGTGTACTTTTAGGACTTGTGTGAAAATCTGATGATGTTTTAGTCATATTTTTGCAGAAATCTAGAAAATTCTGAAGACCACAAACTCTCAAGCACTACTGTAGTTGCAGCGAGGAGACAAAAGATTAAAGGAAAGAGTTTCACAAAGGAGTAAGCTTCTAAAGACACGAGGACATCTGATTTCCAGGAAGGTGAACCGCAGAGCCAAGAGACGCGGTATCTTAAGTTACACCAGCCTCAAATACTTGGGTTTATCAACCAGGATCAGAATCAACTGGTACTGATTGGCTCTGCCTTACCACTCAGGAACTGAAAGAATCTGGTTAATGGAGAGATTACTGGAATACCCCGCAAATTTACCAACCCTAACAACAGAAAATAGCAGCTACCATATTTTTACTTCATTATTATTATCATAGTAACATGTAAGGCTGATAAAGTTTCACTTTGAATCACACAAAGTTTCAATTCAACCTGCCAAACTGGAAAAACACATGCAAGATTTTTTTCTTGGCTTTTGTGACACCAGCTTTACTGGCAAACAAAAATACAATTAAAACAGTGACGGTTGTCTTATTCTTAACCTTGCATCTTTCATGAATTTACAATCTCATACAACATAAAGTACAGTTAAGCAACAGGCCATGTGTAAGAATGAAGAGCTGTGAAAGTTTATCGAGATGATGGGAAAACGCTGAAAAAAATCTGCACAGTCTTTGTGGCAGGTGTACAATTTCTTTTAACAACCCAGTCAATTGAGATGTTTTTCTATGAGCATCACAAAAAAATGCAGCAAAAAGCACACACATTTGCACATGAATTTACAATATATTTTAGTCTAATAAAAACAAACTGGGCCTTTACTGGTTTGACTGATTTTATGTAAATTTATGCTTTAAAGACACTTTTCTGTTGCATGAAGACGTGCTTTTTACTGACTCGCAGAGTTCATAAACACTCCCAACAAACCAATCTCTTTTTGGCTTCATGCAGCTTATTGTTTGGTCACACCTCGAGTTTGAAGGTTTAATGGTTTCAGTTTTAATTTAAAGTAATTATTTATCTGAAGGTTAGTATCCATGTTGGAAACATTTAACAATGTTTGTGCTATTCTCTTCACCCTCACACAAAGAAAACTTACTCCACCCTTAAACTAAATAAAAAAGTGTCATCCTCACATTCTTATGTAACATATTCTATTGACATTACTGTGTTAGTGATGTCAATGATGCAGGACTGTTGCTCGGCGAGGGATGTCAGAAACTTCTCATAAACTTAAAAATAAAATGAATAAAAACACCACTGCTTACATTTCTATTTAGACCCTTGCATACAACATGGGAAACATTTTCCCTCACTAAAAAAAAAAAAAAAATCCCACATATAACCCCAGAATTCAAAAACCAATATTGTTAAAAAGAACCATGCCATGGCAGAAGTGCTGACACGAACAGCATCAAAATACAAAGGAAGATGAAGATTATGGAAGCGAATGTGTCTCCGTAGATTATTATCTCAAAACAAGTGTTTTTTTTTGTTTTTTTGTTTTGTTTTTGACACTAAAATTTAACTAAATTATTAGCATTCCTGTTAAACTTTAAAGATGAATGGTAATGAGATAAGGATAAAACAAACAGATATTAAAAAGCAGTTAATTAATACTGTAGGAGCAGGTGATAAATAAATAAATATATTTGTGAATGGGTATTGGGTCACGTGGGTAATCAGCTGTCTATATAGTAGGAACCTTTTCTTTGTGAGTCAGGTGTTCCACCCGAAAGGGGGAAACAGTTTTTTGACCGTTGAATATGAACTAGACGTAAACAGATGGAAACGTTGTGGAAATATGTATTGCCTTTAAATGGACACAGATGAAACGTAAAGAATAAATGGATGACCTGCAAACGAGCAAGGACAGCTCTGACTTTTAGTTCATCTGACAAGGTAACAATCGGCGCGTCAACAATACCCCAGTGTATCACCTCAGTGGCTTAAAGCATTGGCTTGGCCTTTACAAATACATTGTGTTGGATGCTGGTCTATGTCCAATAAACAATACAAGCGATGGAATGCTATAACCTAATTATTCTGTCAAAATCTCTTTTTTATTTCACACACAAAATATTTTTCTCTAAATCTATCCTTTGTTGCTGAATGTTAGCGTTTCTTAAAGAAAAGCATTCCACCTGCCTCACTGCATGCCAAAGTTTAAAACAAAGATCTTGTGCAATCTGTTAATGCTCAAATCATGTTATGGGGATGACTCTCAGCCACTATCACACCAAATCATAGCTCAAAGTCTGAAATTCACTGAGTTAAAGACGTGCTTGTGTTTGCTAACAATGATTAGCTGTGGTGGACAAGTTAACTGGGATCAACTCCAAAGGTAAATCAGTTTTAGATGTACATACAATGATTACTTTTTGATCGTTTACATAAACTCTGTTCTGAATAATAGGATATTTTGCTTACACGCGCACGCACACGCACACACGCACGCACGCACACACACACACACACACTGACAAATACATTATTGCCACTTTTTTATGGCAGTAGACTATAAAAGCACAACCTTTTCCACTTAATACATTGTTGTTGCTTTTCTACATCAGTTAGTAACATTTCTGTATTTTAGTAAATACCATAATTCCTAGTATAAGAGCCGTTACTTTTTCTCATGCTTTGGATTCCGTGGCTTATACACAAGAACGGCTAATTTATGCTTGAATTTTGTAATTTTATTTTAACATTTTATTTTTATATTTTGTTTTAACAGGCTGCCAAACTTCCTGCCACTAAATAACATTTTAATTTGACACAACTGGACCTTCTTCGGGGGAGGTTTTTGTGACAAAGACAGAGTGAATGCCAGAGGTATTTATGACAGGTACTTCTTGGTCATAGTTCCAATCGCTACTAAATATCCATAATCCCACTTTGTGGACATGTGATCAGAAGTCACCCTAATGACCAACGAGGTACCATACACTCATTTAGTCACAAGAACAGACGTGCATTGATCAGATTTTCTGTTTAAAAATCTGCTGGCTCTTGAATGAACCACACCCGTGAATCCAGACAGCATTCAACTTTGTTTTGTTGCTGTAACTTCCAGCCATTTATCCACCCAGCCAGGCACAAACAACTCCTCAGACTAAGAGGAAACAGTTTCACTTTCACTCAAGTGGAAAATTCCATTGGACTTTTTTTAATTTTTTTACCAGCCGTGTTTTAAAGGCATTGTTCAGAAAAATAAAAACAAAAAAAAATTACCGTACCATAGCCTATTTTGTGTATGTTACTGGTACATATTTCAATAATACATATTACTCCTTCAGTCACCTCCTTATTGTGGTGAAGGAGTTTGTGAACCTTTATGATCCTAAAAGCTATGCTGTCCAGGGCAATTTTAATTGCCCCTGGTAGGGTCTCCCAAGGCAGATTGGTTCTAGGTGGCAGGCCAGACAAAGAGCAATTCAGAAGACTTTTATGGACCAAATAAAACAAAAAAACTCAGTGTCCCTTGCCTGGACGTGGGTTACCGGGGCCCCACCCTGGAGCCAGGCCTGGGGAGGGGGCTTGTCGACCGGTGCCTGGTGACTGAGTCTCTACCCATGGGGCCTGGTTGGACTCAGCCCAAAGGAGAAACATGGGTTTGCTTTCCTGTGGACCCACCACCTGCAGGAGGGGCCATAAAAGTCAGGTGCATGATGCCATGGGCAGTGCCCGAAGGCGAGGACCTTGGCACTCTGACCCTGGCTTACCAAATCTAGCTCTTGGGACATGGAATGTAACCTCTCTGGCGGGGAAGGAGCCTGAGCTCCTGTGTGAGGTTGAGCGGTACAGTTGGGCTCACCTTGATGCACAGCATGGGCTCTGTAACCAATCTCCTTGAGAGGGGTAAGACTTTATTCAACTCTGGAGTTGCCCATGGTGAGAGGTGCTGAGCTGGTGTGGGTATACTTTTGGCCCCTTGACTTGTTGCCTGTGTGTTGGAGTTTTCCCCGGTAGATGAGAGGGTTGCTTCCCTGCGCCTTCGGGTGGGGGGACTGTAGTTTGTGCCTACACGCCAAAGAGCAGATCTGAGTATCCAGCCTTCTTGGAGTCCTTGGCGGGGGTGCTGGAAGGTGCACCAGCTGGGGGACTCCTTTATTCTGCTGGGGGACTTCAATGCACAAGTGGGTAATGACAATGTGATCTGGAGGGGTGTGATTGAGAGGAATGGCCTCTGATCTGGACTCGAGTGGTGTTCTGTTGTTGGACTTATGTCCTAGTCATAGTTTGTCCATCACGAACACTATGTTCCAACATATGTCCATTAGTGCATTGGGCACCAGGACGCCCTAGGTCGTAGATCAATAATTGACTTTATGTCATCTGATTTGCGGTTGAGCTGTCAACTGATCACCACCTGCTAGTGATTTGGGCCAGATGGTGGGGGAAGATGCCGGATAGACCTGACAAACCCAAACGTGTATTGAGGGTTTGCTGGGAATGCCTGACAGAAGAACTGCGTCCCAGCTGAGGTGGGGGACATTGAGTCCAAGTGGGTCATGTTCTGCACCTCAGTTGTTGAAATTGCTGCCTTGAGCCGTGGTTCCAAGGTTGTCAGTGCTTCTTGCAGTGGCCATCCTCAAATATAGTGGTTTGGGCATCTGGTAAGGATGCTACCTGGGTGCCTTCCTAGGGAGGTTCTTTGGGCATGTCTGATTGGGAGGAAACCCCGGGAAAGACCCAGGAC